CTTCCTAAACCGCGATATGTGCATTCACCACCACCAGCATCATGGCCCCCACGGGGAATGGTTATGGTTCAAGATTATCAACTCCCCAAAATGGATGGTTTCAGAAGTCTTATGGACCAAGAATCTGAAAAAATGTGGATCTACGGATATCCCAAGGACTTGACCCATACCCTGACCCCCTGGTGCTGAAAGGCAACGACCCGCCTGGTGACACTTGTCTTTGTGACTGGCCTGGGTGAGCGCGGCGAGGTGCCCGAGCTTCGATGGTCCTTGGTGTTGAAGATTGCTGGAGCTGAGACTAAGACACGTTTTATGATGATGATTGTGATGGTGATGATTGATGAGTATCATGACATATCATTACGTATTACTATATACTATCATCATTACTGCTGTCATTGCTACTAGTACCATTGATTATGCAAAAGCTGTCGAAGGTGTGACAACTTGCAGTTTGAGCCATTCCTTGGACTCTGGCCCAAGCCTTTGTGGGGTCATAACAAGAGCTTGACATCTACGACGTGTTTTTGCGGGCCGCGGTCCCAGTGCTGCTCGCTTTGCGACGAGCCCAGGGTGAGTGGCTCGCCATGGCAGAAAAGAAAGATGATAAGAAGGGAGGAGACAAAGGTGGAAAGAATTCTCCCATGCCATCATCTTCAGTTATGAGTGGTCAGGAGACGCCTGAAGCAAGGTCCGAAGTGTACAAGAATCCGGATGCGGCTGGTGCAGCTGAGGAGGTTCCGCCAGATGATGAGGAGGTGCATCAAGCCACTCCAAAGTCAAAGATTGGCATGGAAACCCCGAAAGAAGGCAGCAAGAAAGGCGATGACAAGGACGACCCTACCAAGGGCAAATTTGCCAGCAAGGTTGCCCAGAACCGTCTGAAGAAGGGCAAAGAGAAGACCAAGGGTGCCAAGACCAAGGGCGCCAAAAACAAGGACAAGGACAAGGGCAAGACGAAGTCTGCAAAGAAGAAGGATGAAAAGAATACAAAGAAGGATGACAAGAATACAAAGAAGGATGACAAAAAGGGCAAGAAGAACCAGCCAGACAAGCACCCCAAGGGCACGAAGACGGATGGTAAATACATCAAGCCAGGAAAGCGCACGAAGGATGGCACTGATCTGGAGGGTGAAGTGACTCCTGTCACGGTCGACAAGGGAAAAGAACGAACTCGTCTGAGAACAACAAAGAGAGGGAAGCTGACTCAGGTGAAGCATGCAAAGAACAAGCCAGCGAGCTCTCGTCGTGCAGGCTGCATCTTCCCAGTGGCTCGGATCCATCGCTTCCTCAAGGGCTATGCAACTGCCAAGTGTCGTGTTGGTGGCTCTGCTGGTATCTTTACGGCAGCAGTCATGGAATACCTAGCAGCAGAGGTGCTGGAGCTTGCAGGCAACGTTGCTGCGGACTACCATGTGAAGCGCATCACGCCAAGGCATTTGCAGATTGCCATTCGTGGGGACGAGGAGCTGGCAAGTCTCGTGAAGGCTACCATTGCTGGAGGAGGTGTTGTGCCCAACATCAACAAGGCTTTGTTCCCAGGTGTCCGTCTCAAAGAGTCTGAGAAGTACAGTGTCAAGCCATCGAGCCGTCGAGCTCGAGGTGTGGAGCCTGGGGATGATGCATCTGTGAGTGGCGCTGTCTCGACAGGAGCTTCCAGCACAGGTGCCAAGAGTGTGCGTCACACTTCACCTCCGACCTCCCCTGTGGTCGGCGAGTACTGAGCTGATGCTGAATCAGCGTTCCGGGGATTGCCACGTCTATTAGAGACCTGTGCTCAAAATTTGATGATTTGCTGTAAGTTTCCTTGAAATGACATTCATGATCCAATGGGAATTTGATCAGAGCTGCCAATCAAAGAGCAGAAAAAAGAAAGCCGGCAGAGACATGCAGCATGGATCTTAGGAATCTTAGGTCTATTTTGGTCTTCAGGTGAGTCTCAGGTTTTCAGGTTTGATTGAAAATAGGGTACCTGGGCCCGGGTACCCCCAAGAAATGTCCATTTTGACTGCCAGGATGCCGATGAGGAGACCAGCTTCCTGGAGCTGCAGCGTCGTTGTCTCATGCAGGAGCGGAGTGGAGCGGAGCGATGTGGAAGGATTGGTGAACAAAGGGTTAACAGAGGGACATAGGGGTCAACATAGGGGTTAATATAATGGAATTACCCAAAATTGTGTTAACCCCCATTGGTCAACATACCCATTGTTAATTCCATTGGTTAACCATTGGTTAATATACCCGTTGTGAGGAATTCCTAATGGTGAGATGACCAAAAGCCATTCCATGCAACTTCACCATGGCAAGAAAGGTTCCATGTCCCAATCACTGGGACGCAACAGAGTGACCATTCTGGACTGCTTAGTTTGATTCTGGAAGGTGTACTTTGGTTTCTAACCATTGGACTCATCGTTTGTAGCAGCATAATTCTTCTGAGGCATGATGGCTTGACTTCGTTGGAAGAAAACATGAATCCTTGCTGTCTCCTGAAATCGTTGCAGTC